GGGGGGGGGGGGGACGAAAGAGAAAAAAGAACACCTGTCGAGAAATTAACGTAGGTCTCACCTGACGTCACTGGTGACTGCTTGCTACGCAATACCGACGTGTGGGATTTAACGAAGTGCCTTCGTCGCGTTTGCCGTCATCGTTATCACTACCGTTGTTATCGGCGCGTCGCGTCGACGCTAGGCGCCGCCGATGCAACGGGATCGGGAATATCGGTGTAATAAGGTCGTGCTCGCGCTCCTTCACTCGCTCGCTCATACTGATGGCCCCCAAGCACTGAGCGATCGTGCATCATGCCCGCGGAGACGAGACCGAGCGCAGTTGCAAATAATTGCGAAGAGAGAGAGAGAGGAAAAATCGTGCCAATCGTGAAATTATACATGGACTTCATCGCCGTGGTAATGGCAAAATACGTTAATTAAATCAATTATGGCGAATAGGAAATGTATCGAGTAAAAAAGAATTTGGTTGGATTAACCAAACATCTGGTGAGGAATGAACGAACCAGAATTTCAGAGAAAGAAAACCAGAATTCAAATTACCAGAATTTTATTTTAACAAGATTCTGATTAGCCAAACAAGATTTCTGGTTAACCAGAACTTGCAAGTCTTCAACGTGAAGCAATGTTAACTAACCAGCAAGCTTGTTTGGTTAACCGGAATCTTGTTAACCTAAACACAGAATTATGGTAACCTTAGCCGGGATTCTGACTTGTTGACATTTCACCAGACATTTGGTTAATCCAATCGTACGTTTTCGTCCGCGTAGTCATCGAACACGCGAAATTAATCGAGAAAGAGCGCCCCGTTCGCACGCTCTCTGCTCACACTCTTGAATTTTTTCGATTCTTCGTTATCGCGCGTTGAAATCACCATTCCGCGCGCGTCTCAGTTCTTTTCTTGACAATCCCGTTCACGAGGAGCGATTCTCGGACACCCAGTATAAATTCTCTCTCTCTCCTCCGACACTATGTAACTATTCTGTCGCGTCGCTTAACACGCCGTTGGCTTGAGCCCTTCGTTTTAATGAGCTGTTTTTCCCTGAAATTACGAGTGTCACGCGACGCCTCTAATCTCTCTCCGTCGGCGGAATCAGCCGATCGAATCGCCTATTAGCGCGCCAGAAGAACTGTGCTTTATGAGTGATATTTTTTATGCTCGTCCTTGATAAGATTATTACCCGTTGGCTTGTTGTTATACATTTCTCAATGTCGAATGGACGGCTGAGAGGCAGAGGAAGACAGAAACTAAAATAGGAAGGGATCTCCGCGCGCGTGACGATTGTGCGTTCTTTTTGCTCCGATTTTCGCCGGGGATAACGGTACGAATTCGCGAATGACAGCTCTCGGAAGGTTATCTCAGGTCATCCTGTACGTACATATACCGTCGACACACGCGCGATTTCACAAAGCAAAGCTGTCTCCGTTTGTTTCGAGCACGCTATCGCTATTCGGCGCTCGCTCTTTTATTTGCGTATCATCAGCGAGAATCCCAGGCAGGAATCGCGATCATTGTTAACGTTCTTGAAGCCGGAGAGATACTCCAAGTATTGTTGACATCGTCGGAGTCGTTGGAATGTCAACAGTTGTTAGCTCTTTGTCGTAGTATGTAACAAGAAATTCTGGTATGATTCGACTATACATTAACGACATATTTTCAGTTTGACGTTATTTAAGACCCGGATGTGTCAAGATATAAGTTCTTATTTTCTCCCTACTCTTTCTTTCCTACACTCCACTCCGCTCTCATAATCGCTTCATTCGTACGTACAAAATTGCAGGTAACTTCATTGTTTGTGCTTGACAGTTTGATATTTATAGCCGAAAGGCTATTTGTCACGAAGGAGAATTCGTTTCGTAATCACGAAGTCGAAGAGGAGAGAAACACAGACGCAGCTCCACGAAGACGATATTAATCGTGCAGCAATTTGACGCAAATGAGTTTTTTTCCTTTTCATCGCGTTTAGCGACCTTCGAATTCTCAGAGGAGACTTTCTTCGCGCATTTTCGTCTCGTGAGTCTTCTTAAAAGAAAAAAAGGAGAGAAAAAGAAATACAAGACACAGAAGCCACGTTATTATTGCCAGTTCCGGGAGGCAAAGCTTATAGTTAAGCGAGCAAATAACAGGGAGAATATTTCATACATCGCAAATACGTATCATTGCGCGGTGCAACAAGCTACTGCATCCATAATACATACGCCGGCGGTGTTTTGCGAAAATCGATGAATTAGCCAGGAACTTGACACGGTACGTCGCGTATTCCTTGATACGTGTCGCACTATTGCGTGGAGTGAAGTTACACTACCGCGATCGGAATTGTACTGACCCCTTTTCCCACATATTTGCTTTCCACTTGTAAAACGTCGCCGTGATATATTGATATTCGATTGCTCTCGCTCGCTTATCGCCAACATTCGAAATGGACATATCTATCCATTTAACAGACATGTCACAGGCAACGGAAGTAATAGATCTAAATTAATTAAACATCGATGACCTCTGAATACCAATAAATTTTTACAATCTGGGGCGATACGCTCAACATATCCCAGTGTCTTGCCCGCAAGATAACGCAGAAATGGAGAAAAGATTAATCGAATTAACGTAACAATGACACATCTGATACGCATCTTGATTGAAGGGCGCATTTTTCCAGAATTTCTGATTCCTTTGAATCAATCTCGGTTCTCAATTTTCCGAATAACAACTAAGAGTCATCTGGGTCAGTTTTTTGTGGGTAACTTTATGGGGAGACCAGTCGAAACATTCGCTGACGCGAAGTAATATCTCTGATGTACCAAAAACGTTCACCTGAACATTCAGTTGTATTAAAAATTTGGTTGAGATAACTGAGAATAATTGGTTGAGTAGGAACCTCCCACGAGAATCTTTTTGTTCTCGAGTTTTCGTCTGGTTCCTGGATAATAGAAAATTCAGCTACACTAATGGAATCGTTAGCAAGGTAGCGAAAATACATTGTCATTCGGAGAGAATCAGAAATTCTGTTTGCCTCAATTAGGAGTCTTTAGCCGTATCAACTTTCGACTAATCTTTCTTTTCCGTGCGCTAATAACACAATCGTACTTTTAACTTCGGCCCAACCGGTTCTTCAGAGCCACTTCTTCGTCGGCACGTTCGGGACACCCTATATAGCGTGTCGGAACCTCAGAGAACCTCAGAGTTTCAATTTGCGCCGGCGACTTGACTCATGCGAGGCTGTTTTAATCCGCGATATTAATTCTCTAACTGGCGCGACGTTTACAACCTTATCGAATAGAGCCGCGGAATCCAAGCGGTTTACAGCGCGAAGGTGAATGACGACGCGCCCGGGAGATACGGGGAAATTCCAATTTAACGCTCGCACAAAAGTGCGCGCATGTGGCGGGACTTCGCTTGTAACGTCCGCCTCGTAACACTTAACTCGTTTACAAGCGCGAGACGCCTCGTCCAGCTGAGCGCGTAATTAGATTTCGCGTAATTCCACGGCGAGCGCATTTTAATGCACCGTGGCGGTTTAATCTCAATCGATGAAAACGTGCGAGAGGAACAGAGCGACGAACAGGAGTACACACTTCCGGCCCGACACAAATTACTCACAAATCAATTAATCCTCACAAACAGGTGATCTTCCCTCTTAATTCCCTCTTAATTAAAGCGATATGTCTCTCGCTTGCTTCTCTGCGTGCTGCAAGTTTTCTCACCCTCCTAGTGATAAATACGCTATTGCTGTTTTCGCAACGAGCAGCGATTAGTCGAAAGTAAGGGCCGTTCTCGCTTTCTGAAAAGGAGTTCTCGGCCATAGTAAATGGTTCCCGCGCAAAAACAAAGCTATGGATCGCGTTGAGCGCTCATATGGAAAAAAAGATAATTTCAATTCGCGTAAAAGAAAAAATACCTGAATAATCCGAAGAATTTTAATCTGAAGAATAAAAAATATTTATTCGGTGAGCACTATAATATTTACTTAAATCTAAATTATTTTGTTTAAATAAAACAAACAATTGTTTTTGTGAAAAAAAACTAAAATTTTTCAAGAAAATATATATTTTTTTATAATATATCTTTAAAATATATTTTATATTAATGTAATTGAATGTGCTATTACAACTACCTGTTGAATAAGTATTTTTTATTTCTTAGATATTTTTTCTCTGAAAGTGAGGAAGAGGTAGAGGTAAGCTCGCTGACGAGAAATATCTCTGTATCGTAACATTAATCTGAACATTTAAGCGTTAAAAGGTATTCTGATCTGAAAAGTTGAAAAAAATTTATTTTTCCGGAATTTTTATAGGGAACGAGAAAACTTAATAATATCAAACTTTACATATTCTTTCAATCTTATTTTAAGAATATACTTTTAATATCTAAATGAAAAAAAACGCTCTTCTTTTATATTATATATTCTGATTACTAGAAGCTCACAAGAAAGAAACGTATTTTTGTCATTTAGACAATAAAAATATATTCTTAAAGTAAAGTTTAAAGAACACGCAAAGTTTTACGTT